GACAAGCATATCGGGCACGTGTTATCGTCGGGCTTTGGTAGTCGCCGGCTTTCGCCAAGGATGATTTTCGGGTAAGCCTCGAGCCTGGGCCTATCGAGGCCCATAACGACAGTGGGCTGTGGAGTCACTATGGAATTAAATTCCGGCAGAGTTCTGCGTCCCCTTGTGAAAGACTTGACCTTGCTACATACACAACATAAAAGCCCCAAAATGCACAAGATTGCTGGCACTCCAACACCCACAGTAATGGCATACCGGGCGCTCCTTGGAATTCCTGAATTAGCAATTCGGATTTACATTAGATTAGAAAGTGAAAACAGAGTTTAGCGCATGCAAGTTGAACCGATATTTAAGCCCAAATTAAGTACTTGGTGGAAAGATTAAACCATGATTGACATCTGTGGTAAAGTGTGTTGACCCAAAAAAAAGTCAACCACAACGAAAGCTATGATATGATGGAACATGATTGCAGTGTGGAAAGCGTTGAGCACACTTCAACAGAGGAAGAACTGAAAGCTTTAAGAGCATTCACAATGAGCTTCTTAAATCATTTCTTTAGACAAATTTTAGGGAGGAATTAAAAAAATACAACTCCAACAATGCTCATTATCCATCTCTTAAAATAGAAGGACGATCTCCTACATATAAGGAGAGAGAAAGAAGTTAAAGAACTCATAGTGGCTCCCTATAATTCAATGATGCTTTATTTTATGACTATTAAAACCTTTAATTAAAACTAACAATTATATATATATATATATATATAATAAAGATGGACCTTTTAAAAAAGAGTTATATATGGCATTTATGATTCCTTAAACTAGAGAGTACGATTGGAGTTAAAATTTTATAGAGAGCTCCTAAAATAATTTTTATACATTTTTAGCTAAATTTTAACTAAAAAATAGATAGCATGATTGTAGATGCTCTAATTACTTTAGAAATCAACCTTGGGCGCATTTGGTTTGCTTAGTAAATTAAAACCAGATTAATATTGTTGACTAGTCCCATTAAATTAGTACATAAATATCACCTAAATGTCAGTTCAGAGAAATTTGTATGCTTACTTACAAACATTATATTCTTTCCATTCAACTCTTTTATCATTTTACTACTGTTCCATGATTCCATCAAACAACATGTGAATCAATCTCAACATGAAATTTCATAAGATTCACAAAAGCAAAGACTCCAACTCTAACTGTAGATGTTGGGAATAAATGTTTTACCACAAAAATTAGAGATTTTCTATTTAAACCCTGCACTTCTCTTTGTTCACCCCAATACTTAAATCATTAAGCTGTAAGTTTTATTATTGTGTAAAAAGACAAAAAAGGTCATCGAACTTAATAATTAACCCTAGTGCACACACCCTACACACTCCACCACTCTTCATATTAAGTTTTAGAAATCTCCTTCCAACTTCCTGTTTACAAACTCTCTCTCTCTCTCTCTCTCTCTCTCTCTCTCAAGTTCTCAACTCAACAATACCCCAAGTGTTAGATATTAAATTTCGGATTTAGGGTTTCATTTGTTTGTGTTTTTTTTGGTTGGGAACAAAGAAAATTGTGGGGTTTAAATAGAAAATCTCTTTTAATTCTTATTTTTTCAGTTTGGGGTGTATTTAAGGGTATGTTGGGAAGATAGTGGGGTTTTCTTAGAAATTGTGAAAATTTAAATTAAAAGTTGGGGTGAACTTAGAACATGAGGTGAACTAAGAGAAGTGTGGGGTTTAAATAGAAAATCTCCAAAAATTATAACTCGAAACATCAAACATGAACTGGACAACTTATTCATGAGATTAGGAGATTAGGAGCGTGTAATATTGAAGTTATGATATTAATATTACCTCGTTGAGGAAGGTTTGAGCAAACAACTTGGTGACTTGAATTGGTCTTGAACCCACACTGGCCACCACGCGCCGCGCACCTGCCGCACCCAGGCATGTCCCACGTCAGCCGGAGATGGTCAGTCAGGTCCGACGACATAACCTCGTCGTACAACGGAACGTCAACCGGAACAACAAAGGTACCAGTTCGATTGCATGTGGGCGAAGACGACAAATAATCGATCACCTTGGTAGAAGTGGTAGCAAAAACTGTGTACGTAGAGCCGCTCAGGCAAGCAATTGGGTTGAGTTTGTACTTCAAATAATCCAGCGAGCAATTGAAGAACGTGAAGGTTTCGTTTGTCACGCCGTGAAATGGAGAGCCCGAGAGGTTGAGCGTCAGAATTCGCTGCGGGAGGCAGTTGTTTGGATCGTTGATCCATATTTCTTGTTCCGCGTAGTCTATGCCTTGGATAGTGAAATCTCCGGAATTTGGGAAGTTGAGGATTGTTTGGTTGGTGATATCGCAGGATAGTTCAAACCCCGGATAAGTACATGACTGTGGCTGGCTTTTTGTTATCCCGAACGGGAATTTAATGTTTGGCTCGCCTTTGAAGCAAACATCCTCCTGCAAGCAATTTTCTGAGGAGCTGCTGCTGCTGGTTGCAAGGTATGAGAATGACAAGAAGAAGAGAAAGGAGGAGAAGATGGCTATGAAAATATTCATATTTTTGCTACTTGGAATAGCAGGCACAATTGCTACACTTCCAATTCCAATGTATATATCTCATCTCGCATGAGTTTGCATTTGACTTTATAGAATAAAGGCCAAGTCTTCATTCACTTTTTTTTACTAAACTATATAAATATGGAAGGCCAATCAGTGCATCAAGGGGAAAGGCAGAGATGTATTTGATTGTGAGTGGAATTTGTGGGCATTATCTATGTCACTGCAGCAATCTTGCTAGCAAGACCAGTTCAAAATGTTTGCATGTGGTGGTCAATTCATGTGGAAATTACAAGATGGCTTCTAATTTCAAACCAAAAAACAAAAACTTATATTGTTGTTTTTTTGTCACATATATTAAAGATAAGATAAGAGAGAGAGAGAGAGAGAGAGAGAGAGAGAGAGAGAGTTAGGCCGATAATGGCTGCCCGGATTATGATATTTGACATTTCAACTTTGCATACTAATACTATACTCAATTTAAAACCAATTAAGCCTTGAATTATTGATTTTCACAACATATATTAATATTCTGGTAGATAATGGCTGCTTCCATTTGTGATATGTGACATTTGGAATTGACTTGCTCCCACTACTACCAGAGAGAGAATAACGATTCAATGCTATTGCATGGAGCACCCAAGCACAACTTACTGTGCCATCCCATCAGATGCAAATCGATATTTTTTATTTTTCCCAACACCTTAGTTATATACAACGAGTAACGCTAAAATTTATTTTATTTATATGACACGAGAAAAATAGCAATAGAAAGTAGGCTGTTATGCACAGTTGAGAGAGATGTTGTCATAACCTTGAGAGGCTGTTAAAGCAACAATCTACAACCTATTTTGCACAGATTGATAGGGTCAGCTATCTTGAGGCATGCACAGATTCAATTCAAAGTTTTATATTAGTAGAGAATGGAGATAGCCAGGGGCCAGATTGCACTGATGAACATATACGGCAACCCACAATCCGTTTGCTTGGTTTATGTCAAAATTGATTGATCATTCAACGGTTGTTGTTTGTCCAAAAATACGGGGCCCACTTGTGTGAAATTTGGGCAATTGGCTAACGGTCTCTCTGTAGCAATCCCGAGGTTGGTAAGACCTGTTCAAAGTAGTCAGTTGTAGCTGCAGGTGGTCAATAATCAATACTCAATTCATGATGACGAAAACACCCAAAAAAGATATTTAATTATAGATTAATCATGAATATGAATGAATATAAACCGATGGAAGAGGGATTGCTGCCCTGCTGAATTATGAATTAGTTGACTATACTCTAGCATAAAATATGAAAATTAAAAACTAAAATTGAAATGATTATCAAATACGCAAATTGCATGTCAACATTACAATTAAACTTTTCCTTTCTTACGGAAAATGTCCGCATTTCCCATTGCTTTCTGTGGCGTGGGGTTGATATTGATTGATTCTCATTCTCAGTGTCAGTCTCCAAACCAATTGCTTTGCTTCTGACCAAATGAATTCATTTGCTTCTAAAAAAATAACACAACTTAAAAGGAGGCAGTCCAGTTTCAGGCTCACGATACATGGCCCAAAGCCCCAACCGTGTATAGCCCAACTCAGGCAACGTCGAAACGTCGTTTCACTTTACAAGTTTCTTCTTCTGGGTTTCATTTTGGGTGTGGTTTCGTGCCGTAGCAAAACAAAACCCAGCGAATCAAAGCGAATAACCAAAGATTACGATTACGAATACGAATAATAATTTTATTTCAAACTTAAAAACAACCACTTCACTTCGCACAATTTCACTAATCCATCCATAAAAGTAACAAAATTTGCATAACATATTGCAATTATTATTTCATCAAATCTGGACCCCCAAAAGAAACTCAAAAATCAGAGCACCGACCGTTTCGCTCCCAATCGCCGAATCGGGTGGGCTCCGGCCCTTTGGGCCCGCCGATCTCACCCGTCTCTTTATTCATATACCCATCGTCTTCTTCTTCATCATCATCAGCTTGATTTTGAGTGCTTTCAAGTTTTTCGTCGGTGGGTTCTCTTTGTTCCTTGCTGGGGTTTTGGTGCTGGGATTGAGACTCCGTAGCCGATGAACACAAGAGTCGACTCACTGAGTTGATGGCGGCGCGAGTTAGAGGCTCGGCTCTACTAGGGGTTGAGAGAACGGTCGTTGATGAGAATAGACGGCCTAGATTGATTGCCATTTTTTCTTTCGTTCGTTCTTGTTTTTTCTTCTTCCTTCTTCTCTGCAAGAAAAAAGAAAAATACGAGTGAGAGAAGAGAAGGTAGAGAGGGAATGCTATTGTTGTGGCAACCAAACGGCGTCGTGTCGTGGAGTTATGAAGCCACGTGGTGGTTGTCTAAATTAGATTGGGCCACCCAAATGGGCTTCTTCTAATGGCAGGTGGTCGAGAAACCCAAAAAGATCGTCCGAAGATAATTAAATTTATCAATAATAAATGAAGACCAACCAAGAAATTCCAACATGTGGTGTTTTGACGAGAATTGCACGCATTAAATTCCCACAAAGACACCCAAAATCATCAACCTTAGGTATGTATCACTTTCTATGCATACTTGTTTCAGTGTGACATGTCTTCTCACTATGTTTTTCATGTTCATACATATACAAACAATTTTATCTTATAATGTCATCTGAATCCATGGATTTTGGGATCCGTCCATTCAAATAGAACCTTAGCATGGCATTAATAGTGGGGATCTGTTGTGCTAACTTTTGGTTGTGTTGTGTTTCTTTTCATTGGCATTATGATAAATTGTCGATAATGTGTGTGTGTGTGTGTGTATTTAGGTTCTACGTGTTCACAAGCACAGCATGAAACTGAAAGTATAGAGTCAGATGTCCCAACACCACCCAGAAACGCTGCAGCGGGAGGGAAAGCTTCTCTTCAGGCAGAACGTACACCTGGGCTTGGCCAAGGAAATAGAAGCCATTCTAGTGAGAGCAAAATTTTATACATATATATAGACCAGAGACACAGAGGTTAGTATTTGAGAAATCGAAAAGTTGGGTTATGTTGATTTTGTTTGTTTATTTTGCAGTTGGGTGGATGCATTTGAATTTGAATTTGAATTTGATGATGGAGGAGAAAGTGGAGAAACACCGTGTTTCAAAACGACAACTTGGGAGTTGAGTAGGGTTGCAGAGAAAGATGATGTCTTCTTCTTGTCTTGTTATTAAGATACGCACAAAAAAACTTGTTGGCCTTGATGCTCTATTTCGTATTCATTCGTAAGGAAATAAATCCACATGCTAAACTTATTCGATTGATGTTCTGAGAGCCCCAGTTTGGTTGATTTTCTGCTCTTAAAACATAATAATAATTCCCCATCATATATATAATCTTAAATAATTGGTGAAGAACCAAAACTGTACATTATTCCTTTAAAACAACCACGCAAAAAAGACCCGGGTAAAACTATAAACAAAGAAATATTCTAAAACCTCTATACCCAGGCTCCGCTGAAAAAACTACTTTCATTATGCGAGAATAGAAAGGCTTTGTTGCCCCCAATGTGAAGCCACCTCCCTCCTGCTTCTGCTGTCCCTTCTGGCCTCAGCTCCATCGCATCACGAAAGAAGTGGTTAACCCATGAGGCTAATCAATCTTGAAACTTCCTTCCAAAATCAAAGCAAGCCATATGTTTCCGTGTCGCTGTCACTGTATTTGCTTGCTGCTGTCTTGGTTCTTTAGTAAAAATCTTGATGATCATGTCATCTATGTCATCACTGTGTGTTTGCTACTACCTGTGTTCCTCTTGCTAAGATCTTGATGCCTCTTCAAAATATTTTCATGGCTCCCATTGCTAATGGTGTGGTCTTCTTCTTCCTCAATGGAGAGGTATTTGTCAACTTGCGCCGCAGCTTGCCGACCCTCTGAGATTGCCCACACCACCAGGGATTGACCGCGCCGGCAGTCCCCAGCTGCAAATACCCCATCCACATTGGTTGAGAACCGACCATACTCCGCCTTGTAGTTTGAGCGATTGTCACGCTCCAAGCCCAACTTCTCTGCTACCGTCTGCCAAACCAAACACAAAGTAACCAGTGAGAAGAAGAAGAAGAAACATGATAAATATTTTACAAATGTATTTGAACTTTTAAGCAACTTGAACCAGTGGAATAGCAATTGAAGATACTAACCGCCTCAGGTCCAAGGAAACCCATTGCTAGTAGGACTAGGTCAACCTCGATGATCTCCTCAGAGCCCTCCATTTCCTTGAATTGGAACTTCCCAGTAGCATCCTTCTCCCATTTGACACGAACCAGCTCAAGTCCTTTCACAGCCCCATTCTCATCTCCCACAAATCTCTTAGTAAGCACCTCATAAGATCTTGGATCTTTGCCAAACTTAGCTGCAACTTCTTGGTGCCCGTAATCTACCCGGAATACACGAGGCCACTGCAAACCCAAAAGAAAGAAAATAAATAGGCGAGACATCTAAGGAAACACATGACAAAACTCAATGGCATTTCTTCTATTTAAAGCAAGCAATCCAACTTCATGACATTTCATAACCTAACGTGCATGCAGAGAACCACAAACAATGAAATTGACAAGCCAAGGAAATCACAAATGGATCCCAAGAACAACCAGACAAAAATTCACAAAAATCCAACCTGCGGCCAAGGGTTTCCTGGAGCCCTTGTTTGTGGTGGCTGAGGGAGAAGCTCCAAATTTATGATGCTACTACAGCCATGTCTAACGGATGTTCCTATGCAATCAGTGCCAGTGTCACCTCCACCAATTACCACAACTTTCTTGCCCTTAGCAGAAATATAGTTACCATCCTGAAGATTGCTATCTAGTAAGCTTTTGGTGTTTGCGTGAAGGAACTCCATAGCAAAATGAACACCTGACAACTCTCGCCCTGGTACAGGAAGGTCCCTGCACCCAAAAAAAATTAAAAATTAAAAAATTTCACTGCTGTTAACCATATTCAAATAATACCTTAGAGACAACAACATTACACAATTATAAGTTACCTTGGTTTTGTTGCTCCTACCGCTAAAATAATGGCATTATTCTCCTCTCGAAGGCGATCAAGCGAGTACAAAGGATCATTTCCAACACTAGCATTAACCACAAAGTTGACACCTTCCTCAGCCATAAGGTTAACCCGCCGTTGAACTATATCCACTTTGTCAGCCTTCATATTAGGAACTCCATACATCATGAGCCCTCCAACTCTATCAGCACGCTCATACACAGTCACCGTATGGCCTAATCTGTTTAGTTGATCAGCAGCAGCTAGACCAGCTGGTCCGCTTCCAACAATGGCAACCCTTTTCCTGTAATTATAAACATATCAAACTGATGATTCATGCATAGAGAATCTACAAAATGAAAAATAATTCAACATATTCTGACAAGACAATCCTAGATAGCATCGCTCTTAGGCTGAGAAGAAAAGTATACCCAGTTCTCTTGAGAGGAGGTCGTGGAACCATCCAACCTTCCTCAAAAGCCTTGTCTATGATGGCACATTCGATGCTTTTGATAGATACAGGATTCTCAATAATACCCAGAACACAGGAACCTTCACAAGGTGCCGGGCAAACTCGACCAGTAAACTCAGGGAAGTTATTTGTCTCTAGAAGTCTCTCTAATGCTTCATGCCACCTATTCTGGTACACCAACTCATTGAACTCGGGTATTTTGTTACCCAGAGGACATCCAGAGTTCTCCTGCAATTTTATTTGAAATATCAGAATTAGTAGAGGCAGTGTATCCATAACGAGATAATGCTTGATAACTGGCAAAATGGGTCAAAAAAAGATACAAGTTCCTACCTGATGGCAGAAAGGAGTGCCACAGTCCATGCAACGGGCTGACTGAGTCTTTAATAGTGGTCCAGGTTTAGTTTCCTCCATAACTTCCTTCCAGTCATTCATCCGAACATTAGGATCCCTATATTGAACGCCCTCACGCTCATAAGAAATAAAACCGCGATGTTTGACAGCATCGCTGACCTGAGAAGGCCTCTTAAATATTTCAGAATCCTCTACCGTCTGCAAATATAACTCTCATGTTAGAACCTTTTTAGATTATGCAATCCATAGTGGTTACCAGAAAGTAAAATCCAAATAATCAAATCAATATTTCTGTGTACAAATGTGACCCAAGTGGGCTTGTAATGATATGAAGACTTTCTTCAATTGTGCCAACAGGAAACCATGTCAATACTATACAAAGATCAGAGAATTGAGGTTCTGCGTATTAATGACAGTAGTAGCATAGTGAGTGAAAGGGGGGGAAGGCTGAACTCAAATTTAAGAGTAAAAAGTTCAATTACCTGATTGGATTTCCCATTTAATGATGATGCAGCTGCCAACTTCTTAAGTTCTTCAAAAGCATCTTTTTCAATTAACTCTGGTTCGTCTTGCTCAGCTTCATCAACAGCATCCTGTTTGGAGGCTTTGTCTTTCATATTTGCAAGAACACGCTTGTACTCTCTTGGGATAACCTTGATAAACTTAGGCAAAAGATTGCCAAAATCAGCCAGGACTTGACTGGCCAGCAAGCTGTTTGTGTGCCGTTGATGCTGTTGTATCATCATTTTAAGGGTCATCACATCTTCTTCTTCAAGTTTATCAAGATCTACAAGCTCGAGATTGCATCGGGACCGAAATTGTCCATCCACATCAAGAATGTAGGCAATACCACCACTCATACCAGCAGCAAAGTTCCTGCCAGTTTTCCCAAGCACCACAACAGTGCCACCCGTCATGTATTCACAACCATGATCCCCAACTCCTTCGACAACTGCCCTAGCCCCAGAATTGCGAACACAGAATCTTTCTGCTGCCATTCCATTGAAGTATGCCTCTCCACTAGTTGCACCATAAAGAGCAACATTACCGATCACAATATTTTCTTTTGGATCAAACTTGCTTTTCTTGGGAGGATAAACTACAATCTTTCCACCCGACAATCCTTTTCCAACATAATCATTGCTGTCACCTTCAAGCTCAAGCATGATACCCGGGCACAGGAATGCTCCGAGACTTTGTCCTGCACTTCCATTGAAT